AGTGAAAATGTCCCAGTAGCAGCTCTGAAGAGACTGATCCATCAAAATAAACAAATACAAAACATACCTTTTCCTGAAATAGGTTACTCTGTGGAATCCCTAAGGCTCAGAACTCCCGCCATGCCAGGCACCACTGCATCCAGTGAAGGTAACAATGGTAGATGTCTACAACCCATCCCAGCCATCTCTCATCACCTCTGTGCCCCCTATGCTCATAGCTCTCCTACTGCTATTGACTGAATTGTGTCCGCCCCAAAATTCACATGCTGAACTCCCAATGTGTTGATATTTGGAGCTGAGAGCTTTGGGGGAGAAGTCAATTTGGAGGAGGTCACAAGGGTGGGGCCACCATGATGAATCAGTGCCCTCATAAGAAGAGACACACCAGACAGTCTGCTCACTCTCTCATTCTCCCCTGCTCTCTCTCACTTCACTACGTGGCAGCCAGCGACAAGCCAAGAAGGGAGCCCTCACCAGAAAGAGACCATGCTGGCACCTTGATCTTGGATGTCCAGCCTCCAGAAATGTGAGAAAATGTGTATAAGCCACTCAGTGGTGCTGTCCTAGGGCAGCCCACGTGGATCATGGCACCTACTTTCTCAATAATACAGCCCCATGCTACTGCTCAAGCTCCTCTGCTGTCTTCAATATAAAAGATCCTGCTCCTAAGACATCTGAATTTCATTGTTTAAACAAAAGATTAAGAGAAGACAGGAAAATCAATTTTATGGCACTATAATCTGGAAATAGAACAAACCATTCATACAGAAGATAAAAAGAGAACCCAGAAAATATAAATGAGTTTCCAAATTCATACACCCAATAAGTGGTAGAGTCAGAATTCACACCAATCAATTCCATCTGTCTCGAAAGCCAATGCGAGTGGCACGGACACCACAGTGGTAATAAGCACAGCTGCTCCCCAAAGCCAACGTACCTTTCCACCAAGGTTACATCACTGCTATTTTAACACCTTTGTTTTCCAGATGAGTAAACTGAGCCCCAAGGAGTGAAATAACTTCTCCAAGGTTAATCAGTGGGTTGCTGGCAGAGAAGTACACAAACCAAGTCCAGGGTCATTTAATCCATTCGTTCCCATAAGATTTTAAACACATTAAAGTGCACAAAATGCATAAGCTGACCATCCACAAATATCTTTCCATAAAACTGTAAAATACAAGTTTATATTTATTAAATTTGTCTTGTGAAGATCCTAAGTAGTCACGTTCTGATACATGTAAAGGGGAAGTTAGGGGCACCTGGCTGGCTTGGTCAGGGGAACACATAACTCTTGGGAGTAGAGATCAATTAAGTAAAACTGCAAAAAGGTGCAGGGAGTGGAGAGATTAGAAGTTTATCCTCATAATTTTTTTTTAAGAATACTATTTTTTTTAAGTGCTCCAGCTTGTTGGTTGGGGTTAGAGTGTGGGACATTTTTCCTGTATTTGTTTACATGGGTTTGTATATAAATAGAACTTAATGTTAAATCCAGTACCATAATTTGACTTTTAAAACTGTCCTACCTTCTGCTTTATGAAAACAAAAAAAATATAATTGACCAAGATGTAGAGGACCCAATAATCTAATAGGTCACCCATAGCTCCAAAACCGTAAGAAACACAAACTCAGTACAGAAAATAAAGTTACCAGTATTGCAGAAAGACAATTGAGGAAGACCATTCCTTTCAATCCTCCCACCTTTATTCACCTAGCTTCTGTCTGAAAAGCAATTATTTGTCACAAAAGGGAAAAAAAAGCATGTATTTTTCGGCATAACTCTAAAATAACCTAAAAAGTACTCCCCAAAACTATTTTTGATTCTACTATTTTACAGAGATTCCTGATAGGAATCTAGGTACTGATTCCTACCTACCAATTGGCATACAAGACCATACTTCCAGAACAAACATGTAGAAGTTTTATCATTCTTTCAATCTGGTTGAGCTTCCACTGGTCTATAAAATGTCCTAACAGCCCACATTTCATCACTGTTATCTGATATCTGATGTCAGCAAAAAGAAAAAAAAAACCCCACTGAATTAGTTCCATGGTTTCCTATGCGTAAGTTCTCCTTTGACAACATACCACCACAGTTTAGCTTCTCTCAAGCTCTAAATCCAGAATAATTTTCACAACTGCAGGAGTCATTTGCAAAATTTCATCCCTGCCACATTTTTTTAAATGTAATATTAGAAAGTGCTATAGATTCACAAGACTTGAGGGGGAAAAAACATCTTATAGTCCCAGATGTTTTTTTTAATGGGTTTTTAGATAAGAGAGTAGGTACAGGGGAAGACATAACAAAGAGGTGGTGGTTGGGAATCCACAATCAGAGAGTTAATGTCTTGAAATCATCTAAAAAAGTGTCAAGGTGAAAGGATTTTTTTTATATAATAAATTTATTTTTTATTGGTGTTCAATTTACCAACATACAGAATAACACCCAGTGCTCATCCCGTCAAGTGCCCCCCTCAGTGCCCATCACCCATTCACCCCCACTCCCCGCCCCCCTCCTCCCCTTCCACCACCCCTAGTTACCCAGAGTTAGGATTTAAGAGCTCTAACTCAGATGTCAAAAGTAGCACTGAGACTTACACACTCAGGGGAGTACGCCAAGCCAGCATTTACTCTTCAGTGTATTATTTTCATTCAGTCATGTCTAGGAAACGTTTGCTAAGTTCCTCCTTTGCACCAGACACTAAGGCCTTCTTCCCCATTCCAGCCCTCAGGGAACTCACCAGTTTGGCAGGGAAGGCGGATGCGTAAGTAATCCTACCACGGGTAACAAGGGCTATGGCAGAGGGACAGGAAGGCCACAGCAAAGAGGACTCCTTGAGGAGGCCAAGGAAGGAATCACAGGCTTACGATGTCTAGGCTCATTGGTACCATTTTAAAGGAACAAATGCTACTGCGAATAACATGGCAACGACACCCCCTTTGCCATAGGTGTTCAAATAAAAGCACCCATCAAAAAGCCTGTTGCATAAAAAGCAGAAACAAAGACCTTGCTAGCACCTGCGAAACACCCTACATCTGGCCGAGTACAGTGGGGTGCTTACAGAATTAAGAATTCAGAGCCAGAAGAGACCTCGGTGTCTGTGTACCTGTAGCCCTTGCCTTTCACAGACGTGGAAGCTGAAGCCCACGAGTCGAGGACTTGTCCGGGCTACGCAGTTAGTCTGCAGCAGAGCCCAGGCTGCAGGTCACCAGAAAATAATACCAGGCCTTTCCCCACATGGGTTACCTGGCTGCATGAGGAGGAAAGAGCAGAGCCCTAGGATGGAGAGAGCAGGCCCCAGAGGCCCCGGCTGGGCTCCCCAGTGGCAGGAAGAAACCAGGAGCCCGGAGAGCAGGCACCTGGTAGGCCTCAATGTTCCCCCAGCTCTGCCCCCACACTCTGGGCCCAAGAAAAGCCCTAAACCTTCCATTCCCCAAAAAAGAAGGTTTCAAAAAATAAAAAGGCCATTGCCAAGAAATCACGTACTCTTCGCCATCTGAAAGAACATTAAATTCATAATCAAAGAGTCTGACATACGTCACCACGACACACTACCACCTTGCTGGTGCCAACCCGGTAAGAGGAAGGTCCCAGCAGACCACTTGCCTACATCCCGGGGTTGTTGCGAGGATCACGGGAGAATCACCACAGGAACCATTGCTAAAGTCAAAATGCTGAACCAATGCAAGTGACTAACAGATATAGAATTCCAATGGTCCAAAAATTCATCTAGGCTTTCTCCTAAAAATGGCTAAACATGCCGGTACGTTTATTAAAAAAAAAAATTAAACATGAACATGTAGTCATCTCTTACCAATTCCATCTTATCTATTTTTTCCCCTCAACTTGTGGAAGGAAAACTGTTTCTCCACCTTAATTCACTCTCTGAAACTTCTCTTCTTTCCCTTCCTTTCCAGCGGCACCACTGTTTCCAAGAGACCCCGCTAGAACATAAGTGGTAGGGACGCCCGGGGGGGGGGGGGGGCTCAGCGGTGGAGCATCTGCCTTCGGCTCATGACCCTGGAGTCCTGGGATCAAGTCCTACACTGGGCTCCCTGCATGGAGCCTGCTTCTCCCTCGGCCTCTGTCTCTGCCTCTGTGTCTCAAATAAATAATCTTTTAAAAACTAATATACATAGCAGAGAGGTCATACAAGCCTCTTACCAACAGTCCTGTTGTGCCCAGTCAGACACCACTTGTACCAGGACGAGCCAGGCAAACAAGCAGCGTACAGCTGCGGGTCGTGCCCTGGGAGGGATGATGCCCAAGCGGGCCTCCCCTCCTGCCCCGTCCCCTTCTGTGTGACACAGGCCTCACGCATGGCTTGGGCACTCATCTGGGCACCAGGTTACTTCCAGAACCTTACAGCTTTGGGAGCTCTGTCATTTGAAACTGGGGCTCCACTCCGCAGCTTCGCCTGTGCAGCCTCGCTCCCCCAAGGTGAATCACGGAAGAAAACCCCACGGCAGGTGCTCGGGAGCCCTTGGCCACAGCCCGTGCCCACCCCAAGCAGGAGGAGGCCCAGCGGCCGCCGGAGTCCTCACCAGTAGTTAGCCTCGCCTAGGACGTGCTGACTTCGGCTCTGTACCTTGGGCGGGGGGGGGGGGGGGGGGGGGGGGGGTTCTGCTAAAGTCCGTTCATTTGGTGAGGAGTTGCTGCCTCCGGAGAGCGGCTGGGGTCACACACCCGGCTGAGTCTCCGCGCCAGCAGTGCAGGGGAAGGCATTTCAGTCAGGGCTACGGAGCAAGAGGAGCTCGACGGCGACAGACAGCAAGGACGCTTCCCACCGCGACGCTGCGCTGACCTTCAAGGCTGAGGGGGGCTTCCTGGCCCTGCCCGTGGAACGGAGTGAAGGGCCAGCCCCGAGATAAGGGCCCCGGACACGGGGGGGGGGGCACATGGGGGGCCGCCAGCGAGCAGTGGCCCTCAGTGTGGATGTCTCCGCCGCCCCGCCGGGCGGACACTCGCCGCGTCCCGGGAGGACCTCGGCGCCCCGGAGAACATGCACCGCAACCAGAAGCGGGTCGGGGCGGCAGCGTCCACACCAATGGCCGCGGAGACGCCGAAGGGGCGGGTCAGTGTTTCGAGGTTAAAAGGCCAGGACTTGGTGACCAGGTGCGTCGTGGGGGTGCGGAGGCCACGTGCTGGGCTTCCGGAGGCTTGAGCTCACCCGGCGCCGCCGGGGCACAGGAGGCGGGCGTGGGGGTTGGGCGCGCTGCCAGGCCCAGGGCGCTGCCGGGTCAGGGGGCACGTGGAGCCCCGGGCGACGCCGAGCAAGGAAACCCTGAGCAAGCCCCGGGGGAGCCGCCGGGGGGAGCCGCCCAGGGGCCCTGGGGCTCAGCGGAGGGCTGGCTGGGGGAGGGGAGGGGAGGGCGGGGCAGGTGACCCGCAGGGCAGGGCAGGTGACCCACGGGGCGGGGTGGGTGACCCGCAGGGCAGGTGACCCGCGGGGCAGGACAGCTTAAGGCAGCCCCGCCAAGCGGTGGGCGCCCAGGACCCCAGGGCGGGTGCGCGGTGCAGCGGAGGCCTGGGCCGCAAGGTGTGGGCCAAGCCTCCCAGGGCCTCTCCACGGGGCACAGGCAGGCAGAGGCCCAGGCTGGGGGGCACGTGCCTCACCGCGATCCAGGGCCCGTGGGGCTAGAACACGCGCGCCTGGGGCAAGGGCCCGGGCCACTGAAGCGGGTTCCGCCTCCACGCGGCTCCCATCCCACTGGGGCCTCGCAGGCCGGCTCCCCACCCACAGTGGGGCTTGAACCTACAACCTGAGCCAAGACCTGAGCCCAGACCGGAGCCAGATACTTAAGTGCTGAGCCATCCAGGTGCCCGGAAACCTCTGAGGAGCTTAAAAAAGAAAAGAAAAACTGAGGAGAAAGGGAAAATTTTGGAGAAAATATGGCCAGTCCCCTAGAATATAGCCAATGAGAATTCTCTTAGCATTCGTCAACACAGAATTCAAAACAGGTTAAACTGAACTATTTCCAACATTAAGTTACGGGCATTTTTTTTTAATTTTTTTTTTTAAATTTATGATAGTCACACACACAGAGAGAGAGAGGCAGAGACACAGGCAGAGGGAGAAGCAGGCTCCATGCACCGGGAGCCCGACATGGGATTCGATCCCGGTCTCCAGGATCGCGCCCTGGGCCAAAGGCAGGCGCCAAACCGCTGCGCCACCCAGGATTCCCAGTTACGGGCATTTTAAAAGCTTTGTTTGAGATTCCTCGGAGAACCTTCTAATACATTAACTTTGTACGTCGAAAGCAGTAAACTGCCCAGAAAGACCATATCCAGTAAGTGCCACCTTCGCCCCGGTTTAGCAGCCGCAGAGAAGCTGAACAACTCACTGAAGTCACAAGGTCTGGAGAGCGCTGCTGTCATTGCAGCGTGTGCCAAGGATCTGGCTAAATGGATTTTACAAGATACAATAACTATAACTGTAATTCCTATTCTCAGACTGTGAAGCCTGTGTCTCAATAAAATGCCGATTTAAAAGACAAGACAATAAAGACCACCGTCACCACCAGAACCCTGTAAGAGTATGTGAAAGGTTATAAAACAAAACTCCTTTTATAGAGTTGAATCCTTTCCAGGGTGGGCCTTTAAGACATTCTGACAGTGCACACAAATACTATCTCTGGAACGGAACCAGAAAGGCACAGCTGCAACACATCTTCCACTGAAGTTGTAACGGACTCAATAGCAGTCCTTCCCTTGAGCAAGGGAGTCCATAAAAGCCCGAAGCAGAGCTATTTTCCCCTACCAACTGCTCCGCGGAACTCCTCTCTCCTCATCCAAACCGTAGCTTCATTAAAAACCTGAAATGGACAGCGTGGACAGGATGCCTTCACAATAGGTTTGTATAAGGAAATCTAAATAAAACTTGAAAATAGTGACTACTATATGGTTTTCATTAAGAAAAATCCCCAAGTGAACCAAAACTATCCTAAGAATACAAGGAGATACATATTTTTTGAATTACAGTCCATCAGCATCACAAACAGGAAATTTGGATGGATTAGCAGGATACTTTTTTTCGCCAACACTCTTAAGAAGTTAGTGACCAAAAAAATTAAGATGACTTAGTATTCTCAATCCTGATGTATTTTGAACTTATGCTATATCTGGTTATTTATGACAGCTAAGACTGACAAAGATGTTTTAAAATCAGTTAGGAATAACCTACAACAATGAAGGTAAGCACGTCAAAGGTTTATTTGTCATGCTTTCCCTGCTGTAGTTTTGACTATGTTTCTATAGCAACACCAACAAATACTCTTCTACAAATACTTCTGCAGCCAAGATAAAAACCAATAACCACTTCTCTAATTCATTTCTATCATGGCTTCCAACAAAATATCAGCCTTTTGGGGCGCCTGGGTGGCTCTGTCATTTAAGTGTCCAACCCTTGATCTCCACTCAGGTCTTAAATCACAGTCATGATTCAAGCCCCACAAAGGGCTCCATGCTGGGCATGGAGCCTACTTTAAAAAAAAAAAAAGAAGAAGAAGAAAGAAAAGAAAAAAGGAAAGAAAAGAAAAGAAGAGAAGAGAAAAGAAGAGAAAAGGAGAAAAGAAGAGAAAAAAGAAGAGAAAAGAAAAGAAAAAAGAAAATCAGCCTTTCTAAACGTCATTCCAGAAACATCAAAACCTAAGGCTTGCGTATATCACTTGTTAACCACAACTGCAGATACCCTTAAATCCTTCACAAGGGGAAACTAATGACAAAGGAGGTATAATTCTGTTACTTCTTTGACAATAACTCATTTTGAACAGAAAGAGACAAGATAGCAAAAGAAAGTGATTACTAACAAAGGACTTACTTGGAAAATTATCTAAATTCTAGAAAAAGAACACTGAAAACTTTGTGTCAAAATGTAAAGCAAAGAATTCAATATTCTGAGGCCCCAAGATAAGCGAATTTCTCTGCCTAAATTTTAGACATGCTTTCAAAATCTTTTGTTAGTGCCATTGTTTTGAAGTAAACAAAATATTTTACTAGTAGCAATAGGCCTGCCTCTTTTGTGAGCAAGCACATGCAGAATGCTTTACAAATGCCCAGACTTAAGCCTCAAAACATCTCTGCACAGAAAGTATTATCAAGTTCATTTTTTTAAAGATTTTTAATTTATTTATTAGAGACAGAGAGACAGAGGGAGAGAGGCAGAGGGAGAAGCAGGCTCCATGCTGGGAGCCCGACCTGGGACTCAATCCCCTGTCTCCAGGATCACACCCTGGGCTGAAGGCAGCGCTATACGGATGAGCCACCTGGGCTGCCCTCACATTCATTTTATACATGAACAAAATGAGCCTCAGAGAAATGAAATACCTTCCCTTAATAAGCATGGGATGCAAAATAGCACAGTGACCACCAGTCCTAGAGTTAGCAGGAGATAGATACCCAAGATTTGAATCCAATGCTATTTTATTTGAAATACATCCTTGGCATTACACCATGACACTTCTGCAACCACCCAGTTACACTTCACCCAACAACAAAACTCAGCCTTTTACGTGTAAATCTCACCTACCCATGCGTCACACTCGCATGTGAACTTATACATAAGGACTTTACTCAACTGCTTCTACTCTAGGCCATACATTTTCTCAAAAATATCTTTTAGAGATACATAAGGAAAACTGCAAAACACAATGGAAAGTATTTTCCAAACACATACGTATACGTCAACAGATACTTACCTGGCATATAAGGTTAATAGCTAGATATATGCCACACCATGCCTTCTACAGAGCACGGAGAGCCGTTTGGGGAGATGAGAGCGATGTAAATAAAAAGCCAACCCTATAAACTTGTGAGTTAACTGTAAATGCATTAAAAAAAAAGCACATGTCCATAGGTACTACACATAGACCAGATATCCCAGAACAGTTCTGATTTCAAATATTCTATCCCACTAAATTGTGGGTTTGGGACTAATGGGTAACTGCAGGCTAGAGTGGTAAACAGAAGAAAGTTGAACAAAACTTTGCAAGAATGGTGGGTTCTCATTGGTAGAAAAGAGGAACAGGGGCATACAAAGTAGGTGGAAAAAGTCCTCAGGGTGCAGCAGCAAGATGCACGAGACATTCTGGGTCTGGGGGAGCTGGTGTGGTGAGTGGGGCAGTGGGTTCACCATCATCCCTGGATCAGTTACATACATGCTGAAACAGGATAGTCGGAAAGATTGTTCAGGGCTGTGAAGTCCAGGATAAGGACTCTGAGGTAAAGAAGAAAGGTTAGCCCTCCTAAAGTTGGGGGGGGGGGTTGTTTTGCTTTATTTTAGGAACAGCTTTACTGAGCTCCCACACAAGTCATTCACTGTAAGTGTACAATTCAGTGATTCTTAGTATAGTCAGTTGTGCAACCATCACCACAAACTATCTTAGGACATTTTCTTCAACCCAAAAAGGAACCCCAAACTTCTTAACTCATTCTATGAGGCCAGATACCAAAGCCAAACAAAGATATCGCTGGAAAAAAAAAAAATGAGGCAATCCCTAATGAATACAGAAGCAAACAGCCCTCCACAAAATACTGGTAAACTGGGATGCCTGCATGGCTCAGCAGCTAAGCATCTGCCCTTGACTCAGGGCGTGACCCCGGGGTCCAGGGATAGAGTCCCCCAACAGGCTCCTGCAGGGAGCCTGCTTCTCCCTCTGCCTCTGTCTCCGCATCTCTCCGCATCTCTCATGAATGAATAAATAAATAAAATCTTAAAAAAAAAATACTGGTAAACTAAATCCAGCAAGATATTAAAAGGCACTTACACCATGACCAAGTGGAAATTATTCCAGGAATAGAAGCATGATTCAACACACAAAATTCAATCAGTAATCATGTTAATAAGAGAAAAATACAAGAATATCTCAATAGAAAAAGCATTTGACAAAATCCAGCATCCTTTCATGATAAAACATTCAACAACCTAAAATGAGAGGAACTTCCTCAATGGGATAAAGGGCATCTACAAAAATACACCTCACACCTAAATGGTAAAAGACTAAAAGCTTCCCCCACTAAGATTGGGAACACAGATGTCCCCTCTCACCACCTCTATTCAACATTATACTTAAAGCCAGTGTAATTAGGCAAGAAAAATAAATAAAAAGCATCCAAGT